GTGCAGGAGACATAAGAGACACAAGTTCGATCCCTGGTTCAGGAAGATCCCCTGGAGGAGGGAATGGCTACCTACTCCAGTATTCTTGCCTGGAGAGTCCCCTTGGACAGAGGAGCCTGGCAGCCTAGAGTCCATAGGGTCGCACAGAGTTGGACATGACTGAAGCAATTTAGCATGCATGCACATGGTTTACAATGTTGTCTTGGTTCCTGCCAAACAACAAGGTGAATCAGTCATAATTATATATATACCCCCTCCCTTTTGAGTCTCCCTTCTTCCTTCCATCCTACACCTCTAGGTGAATGGGTGTCTTAAACAAAAGAAATTAATTTCTCACTGTTCTGGAGGCTAAGAAATCTAAGATGAAGGCACCAGCAGATCTGGTGTCCAGTGAGAATCCTCTTCTTGGTTGGCAGATGTTTGTCTGTCTTCTTACATCCTCAGATAGTGGAGAGCAGAGAGAGGGGCTAGCTCTGTCCTGCTTAAAAGGACACTAATCCCATCCTGAGGGCACCACCCTTATGACCTAATAACCTCCCACAGGCCCTGTCTCCAGATATCATTACGTGAGACAGTAGGGTTCCTATAAATGAATTTGGGGGGTGGTGGGGAGTACACATGTTCAATTCACTATAATTGGATTAGAAAATTCTATTTGTTAAATATGCTTTTTTTTTTTTTTCATGGAATGAGTGCAGGGCAATGCTTCACCAATTATTTACCCTCTTCCTATAGATGAAGTATGAAAAGTGGTAATACAGCAAATAAAAGGCAGTTATCCAGGTACCTAGTGAGGTTTCACATATACTGCTTGGCCGATCTTATTAAATGAAAGTAAAGAATCATTACTCGCATAATCATTTAAAAAGTAATACTTCTATATACTTCCTACAACTCCCAACTAGAGCTATTTTAATACCCTTGCCCAACAAATCCTTTTTATTAATAATATAATTACTAAACTTTAGATTAATCAAACTAGTGTAATAAGAAAATTCCACCTTCTGTGTAGTGTGTCAAGAAGTTAGAGATAAAATTTTAGACACACTATAATTTTAATAGCTCCCTTTGAGTTAAATATACTTTTTAGGTGGCACAGTGGTAAAGAATCTGCCTGTCAATGCAGGAGATGTTGTTCAATCTCTGGGTCAGGAAGATCCCCTGGAGAAGGAAATGGCAACCCACTCCAGAGTTCTTGCTTGGGAAATCCCATGGACAGAGGAGCCTGGTGGGGGTAAGTCCTACCAGGTTGCAAAAGAGTCAGATACAACTTAGTGACTAAACAAGAAGATAACTAAGTAGAAACAATTACATTGTTGCTACTAGAATATAAGTTCAAAGGACAATAAGTTAAAATGTTCAGAATTGCAATTATAAGATTTTGGCAGGTGACAAGTTTATTATCTAGTAACTTATATGTCAAGCCTAATAATTTATACCCCAACTCATATATACCTGTATATGTACAACAAATATGAAATAGTCTCCTCCTCAATTCTCCTCACCAGCAGATATTTACTAGTTGAGAGTAACTCCATGGTTCTGATATTATTAAACATTGCAGCGCTTTTGTTCATAGGTCAGTAGATGGACATGAGTAGATGAGTAGATGAGTAGATGGACATTTTCGAAAATGAATGAACCAAGCAGAAACTGTGAAGCAGGGAATTTACTATTGATCTCACTAGGTATGTCTGCTCTTTTGAAAATCCACCCACATAAGAATATGTAAAGCAGTAGTTCTTATACTCCTTTACCATACAGACTTCATTGTGAAAACAAGCATACAACGAAAAACCCAATACTGATAGCTTATGGTGAACAGTGTTGGATTCGTGATCTCCAAAGAAGAAGATTTAACTTTGGGACTAGGGACTAGTCTTGATCACTCAAGAGGTTTTGTATAGCAGAGTTTTATTAAAGTGAAAAGGGGCAGAGAAATCTTCTGACATAGACATCAGAAGAGGGATGGAGAATGCCCCCCTCACTAGAGTTAGCAAGGAAGTTATATACTTTTTAATTATTTATTATAATAAATCAAAAGAATGTCTCAAGTTAGTGAAAATTTTTCCAGACCCACTCCCACAATTTACATTTAAGGATAACAGGCTTAGAACTTAACAATAGAAAGATCCTACCAGACCCACTCCCATAATATACATTCTAAGATATCAGGTTCAAGCTGGTTTTAGAAAAGGCAGAGGAACCAGAGATCAAATTGCCAATATCCGCTGGATCATCAAAAAAGCAAGAGAGTTCCAGAAAAACATCTATTTCTGCTTTATTGACTTTGCCAAAGCCTTTGACTGTGTGGATCACAATAAACTGTGGAAAATTCTGAAGGAGATGGGAATACCAGACCACCTGACCTGTCTCCTGAGAAACCTGTACGCAGGTAGGAAGCCACAGTTAGAACTGGACATGGAACAACAGACTGGTTCCAAATAGGAAAAGGAGTACGTCAAGGCTATATATTGTCACTGGGCTTATTTAACTTATATGCAGAGTACATCATGAGAAACACTGGGCTGGAAGAAGCACAAGCTGGAATCAAGATTGCCGGGAGAAATATCAATAACCTCAGATATGCAGATGACACCATCCTTATGGCAGAAAGTGAAGAGGAACTAAAAAGCCTCTTGATGAATGTGAAAGAGGAGAGTGAAAAAGTTGGCTTAAAGCTCAACATTCAGAAAACTAAGATCATGGCATCTGGTCCAATCACCTCATGGGAAATAGATGGGAAAACAGTGGAAACAGTGTCATACTTTATTTTTGGGGGCTCCAAAATCACTGCAGATGGTGACTGCAGCCATGAAATTAAAAGACGCTTACTCCTTTGGACCAACCTAGACAGCATATTAAAAAGCAGAGACATTACTTTGCCAACAAAGGTCCGTCTGGTCAAGGCTATGGCTTTTCCAGTGGTCATGTATGGATGTGAGAGCTGGACTGTGAGGAAAGCTGAGTGCCAAAAAATTGATGCTTTTGAACTGTGGTGTTGGAGAAGACTCTTGAGAGTCCCTTGGACTGCAAGGAGATCCAACCAGTCCATCCTAAAGGAGATCAGTCCTGGGTGTTCATTGGAAGGACTGATGCTGAAGCTGAAACTCCAATAGTTTGGCCACCTCATGCGAAGAGTTGACTCATTGGAAAAGACCTTGATGCTTGGAGGGATTGGGGGCAGGAGGAGAAGGGGACGACAGAGGATGAGATGGCTGGATGGCATCACCGACTCGATGGGCATGAGTTTGAGTAAACTCCAGGAGTTTGTGATGGACAGGGAGGCCTGGCGTGCTGCGATTCATGGGGTTGCAAAGAGTCGGACACGACTGAGTAACTGAATTGAACTGAACTGAAGATATCAGGATTAGTCAGAAGGTTTTCAGGAAGGAGAAACTGTCCTCAAGCAGGATACATTGTTGTTATACAGTCCCTAGTACAGAGTTTAAACTGAGTTGTTTGTTGCATAATTATCAGTTCGAGCTTTAAAGAAGAAGAAGAAGAAGAAGAAGAAGAAAAAACAGTTTTATGTGACTAAGACTAAGGAATATAGAGGGAAAAAAAAAAAAGTTTGTGCTTTCCTCCTTCTCAAGAACCCCAGACCCCTCCCTCCTCAGGAACCTCCGGACTTCTTGTCAACCTGCCTAGGAATTGAGTCTCTCAATACAAAACCAGAACATCACCATTATATTATTCCTAGTCATCGCTTGTAAGTATAATTGGTAGAATTACTAGATTGGGGAGGAGTTGCCTTTGTTAAAAAGAACATTTTATTTTTTAAATCACAAGTTATTCGAGACAGAAGAGAAGATAATATATCATTTTATGAAAGCATAGCTACTTTTGATACTTGTCTGCAGAGTTCAGAGGAATAAGTAAAATTCTTGCCTGGGGTGTGGGTCGGGGGCTGGGGAAGAATGACTCTTGATGTTAGCCTCCTGTGTCTATCTAAAGGCCAGACCAACTTTTATATCATCCTTTCATTCTTAAAGCAGTATTTACTAAGCATTTCCTGTGTGAATGTACTACCTCTATGTAAATTACAAGAGTGTGTAAACTACATCGACTCTGCCTATGTACTGGAAGAGGTACTGGGAGGAGGTGGTGGGCTCATAACTGCAGATGGCTTTGCTCGGAACTTTCAAGGCCTCCAAATTGTCTTCAGGCTTCCTCTTTCATCTGTTACATCTGACTACTGCTTCCTGCTGCCAAATTCTTAGTGATATAGTTATCTACAAGAATTCTCTGCTTTGTTTATGGTGCTTAATAGTCCTGAACCTACAATGAATAAGATGCTAAGGCAGCATGTGGTAAGGAGCTTCATTTATCTGGGAAGGTTCCACTTCTGTACTGTGGTAGGCATTATGGGTTATAAGAACAATCATTCTTATAGTTTGACTAGGTTTTATAGTCCAGGACCATGTGGCAATGCTCCTTTGCTTACTTTGGGGAATAGCTGCTCACTTTAGATGGGTGTCCTGGCCCTTAGGCATCAGAGGGAATAACGCGTCTGGGATGTTACAGTTTTTTCCTTATTTTCCCCACAGGAATCGTCATTTCAATATTAATAGAAAAAAAATGATCTTTTGAGGGGGGTAGGATACTGTCTTTTGTAAAAACTACAAAGGCCCTTGTGAATTCTAGGGAAGTGGAAAGAGAAGAAGGCATGGATACAGAGTCAGCATGAGAAATGTTTGTGACAAAGTAGTGAGGATATTTGTCACTTGCACTAAACATCCCCTTCCAGCTTCCCTTTTGGTTATTTAAAAATACTGGAATGCATTAAATTAAATCTCAAATTAAATTCCTTTGGGGAAAGATGTTGCCAGAACATCTAATATGGGGTACTGGACAAGCATCTTAGGTGGGGACTCTGTATCAAAATTTTTTTTTCCCATTAAAAACATACATTCTTGCTATTTATGCGGGTTTTCTTCTCCCTTTCTCCATCCTTTTTGTATCTGGTATTTCTCCCTCGACTCTTCCTTCTTTCCCAGGTGTGTTTGATAACTGCTCCCACACTATCAGTGACAAGGGCTGGGCCCTGGGGATCCGCTCAGGGAAGGATGTGGGAAGGCGAGATGCTCGCTTCTTCTTCTCTCTCCGCACCGACCGAGTGAAGAAAGCCACCACTGTGATGGGCCACAGTCGCTACCAGCCGGGCAAGTGGACGCACGTGGCAGCCACTTACGATGGACAGCGCATGGCCTTGTATGTGGATGGCACTCAGGTGGCTAGTAGTCCAGATCAGTCTGGCCCCCTGAACAGCCCCTTCATGGCATCTTGTCGCTCTTTGCTCCTCGGGGGGGATAGCTCGGAGAACGGGCACTCTTTCCGTGGACACCTGGGCACACTGGTCTTCTGGTCGACAGCCCTCCCACAGAGCCACCTTCAGCACAGTCCTCAGCAGCCAATGGAGGTGGAGGATTTGACCACCCTGCTACTGACCGCCAGTTTTGAGGCCCTGGAAGAACAGTGGGCCCCCTTTAGAGACGGGAAGTACCCACGGCTTGAGGTTCTCCAGGGCTTTGAGTCAGAGCCTGAGATTCTGTCCCCTCTGCAGCCGCCGCTCTGTGGGCAGACAGCGTGCGACAACGTGGAACTGATATCTCAGTACAATGGGCACTGGCCCCTCCGGGGAGAGAAGGTGATCCGCTACCAGGTGGTGAACATCTGTGACGACGAGGGTCTGAACCCCACGGTGAGTGAGGAGCAGATCCGTCGGCAGCACGAGGTGCTCAACGAAGCCTTCGGCCGCTACAACATCAGCTGGCAGCTGAGCATCCACCACGTCCACAACTCCACCCTGCGCCACCGCGTCGTGCTGGTGAACTGTGAGCCCAGCAAAATCGGCAACGACCACTGTGACCCCGAGTGTGAGCACCCACTCACGGGCTACGACGGGGGTGACTGCCGCCTGCAGGGCCGGTGCTACTCCTGGAACCGCAGGGACGGGCTCTGCCATGTGGAGTGCAACAACATGCTGAACGACTTCGACGACGGCGACTGCTGTGACCCAGACACGGCTGAGGTGCACAAGACCTGCTTTGACCCTGACTCACCCAGGAGGTAAGGGACCAGGGTTGGGGGGTGTCCTGCTTGGAGGGTGCATTCCTGACATCATTTTATCTTTTTGGCTTCTGGAGACAAAAAGAGTGTTCATGCAACCTCCAAATAAAACAATTATCTACTCCACCAGATATCAGTGAACTTTCATCAAGTCCTAGATGTTGTGCTGGGTAATTAGGGACACATGGATGACTAAGATGAAAACACGACCCTTACCAAATGCAGTTTCTTTGAAGCACACAACTGTGGATGTGGTGTGAACTGTACACGCACCAGGTGCTTGAGATACAGGAAAGCTGAACGACTTTATCTGTCCAAGGAAGTCAGGGCATCTTTTCAGAGAACAAACAAGGTATGCATTGATAGACACAGCTCATACATGAGTCGGGAGACCCAGGTTCAATCCTTGGGTTGGGAAGACCCACTGAAGGAGGAAATGGCAACCCACTCCAGTACTCTTGCTTGGAGAATTCCATGGACAGGCTACATACAATGCATGGTATTGCAAAGAGTTGGACACAACTGAGCGACTAACACTTTGACTTCACTTTCACTCTTTTTACAGTCTTAGGTTTCCAGCAAAGTAGCACAAATTCATGAGGAGGCCCCATGTGTGCTTAGTCTCTGGCGCAGATCGAGCAGTTAAGCAGCTCTATGAACCTAAAATGTTCCACATCTAAGCACAAGTGCAGTCTTCCTTTTTTTGCTCCATTAAATTTCATTTTCCACGCAGTATTTGTAACAATCCCACTGGAAAGGTAAATCAGATCCTGTCACTTCCCTCCTTACATGTTTTCCTACTACACTTAGAATAAAATCCGAGCCCCGCTCCTGTCTCCTGATCACAACCTGACCCCTGTCTACCTCTCCAGCCTCTCCCCGACCCCAACCTGGTTCTCCACACCCACACTACACAGCCTCACAGACTCTCGTCTGTTCCGCTGAACACATCAACCTTGTCCCTGCCCCAGAGCTTCGCACTAGCTGTTTCATCTTGGAATCTTCTTTTCCTTAATCTTCCCTTGATGAGTTTTCTCTTGTCATTCCAAAACCTATTTAAATGTCACCTCCTGGTGAAACCTTTCCTGATCGCCCAGTTTAAATTGACTAGTCAATCTCTATTATGTCAACTAATTTAAATGATCTCCAAAACACTTATCACCTCTGGTGTTTTTCTTGTGCACTTGTTTATTTGTCTTTCTCTGGCCTGGAATATCAGTTCTTATTACATTCCCAGCGTCTAGAGCAGCAGCTGAAGCATATGTGTCTATTTTATATTTATTTTAATGAATAAATGAATCTGATGTGTCATCTGTTGTGAGAGAGAAGCCAATAGGAAGATTTTTGCTTGGTGGTTGATGCCGGGGTTGAAGACTATTAGAGGGAGTTAAGAAAGGATAGAGGTGGGTGGTAAACTTGTTAATTTGTGCATATGGACAAGGGTTCCTTACTTATAACTTGTACCTTTGTATGAAACATAAAATGCCTCACACCTGAGCTAGGCTATAGTGTTGGTGGGAGTGGGAGGATTGGATCTTAGTTTCCACCCAATACCTGAATGACTGCCTTTGAATTTTTTGGGCATGATTTGTATGGTAATTCATGGTCTTGTGTGTGGGCAGTCCTCTTGATGCCCCTATGTGTGGATGGTTAGAACCAATTAATAGATTCTCCTATATCTCAGACATGTGATGTCAAAGATGGTAAGATTTGCAAAGAGGGAACAGAGTTGAATTCCAGAGTCCTTGCTACTTAACCAGCTATGTAAATTGTACAAGTCACTTTTGGAAACCCAGATGTCTTGTCTGTAAAATGAGGGTGGTTGCAGTAATACTTGGCATTACCTATATCTTTGGGTTATTTTGTGAAGCAAATGAAATAAGGTACAGAAGGTGTGTTAGTCACTCAGTCCTGTCTGACTCTTTGCAACACCATGGACTGTAGCCCATTCATGGAATTCTCCAGGCAAGAATATTGGAGGGGGTAGCCATTCCCTTCTCCAGGGGATCTCCCTGACCCAAAGAATGAACTCGGATCTCCTGCATTGCAGGCAAATTCTTTACCATCTGAGCCACCAGGGAAACAAGGTATAGGAAAGTACTTGGTAACTGTAAAGTTTTCAAAGTACAAAAATTGTTCTCAACTACCATTAGTTATTATCATTATTAGAACTGACAGATGGGAAGCCTTTGTTTACATAATAATACCCAGGGAACTGATCATATTACCAGAAATATTTGCATAAGAAAGATTCTGTTTGGGTTTGGTTTTTAGATTTTGATAACCTTAAGCAGAAGCTAAACCTCACTAACAACACTGTTTGCCAACTCAGAATCTCCAGAGAGCTCTCCAGGCACATCAGGCTTGTTCTCATTTGTCTACTAGCTCATTACAACAACACACTGCCTTGACTGGGAGAGATGTCTTTCATGGTACCTATGCATCTTTCTCCTTAGACTGGCCTCTTATCTCTCTGAATCCTTACTGCCACTGCTCTTACCCAGGGATTTATAACTTATTCCCCTTACTGCTTCAGAGTTGCCATGGTAACTTATCCTTTTCTATCTGTGGACCCAGACATGTTTCAAACTTTCTTACCCTTACATGCAAAACTTGCTTTGCAGAATAAAAGGAACTATTCATACTTTTTTGGTTGGCTGTTGTTGTTTAGTTGTTAAGTTGTATCTGACTCTTTTGTGACCCCATGAACTGTAGCCCACCTGGTTCCACTGTCCATGGGGTTTCCCAGGCAAGAATACTGGAACGGGTTGCCATTTCCTTCTCCAGGGGATGTTCCTGACCCAGGGATCAAACCCGAGTCTCCTGCATTGGCAGTCAGATTCTTTATCACTGAGCCACAGGGAAGCCCAAATAAATGCCCTTGGTTAAAATATCAAATGTACCAAAGACAATTGTACCAAAAAATAAGGAATGGCAATCCTCTGCCTAACTCTTCCTCATCCTTCTCAACTCTCTAGCCTTGCTCCCATCTTTAATTATTTTACTTGCCTTTTTGGTAACAACCTCCATATACATATATCCAAACATGATATTTATAGTACTTGATTCATCTATTTTATTTAAAAAAAATTTTGGGCGGGGAACATGACTTGCATTAGTTCCCTGACCAGGGATCAAAGTGACGCCTTTGGCAGTGAAAGTGCAGAATCCGAGCCACTGGATCAACTTATGTTCATCAATTTTAAACATTATGTTTAAACATTAATTTTAAATATTATGACTTGCTTTTATTAGAAAGATGAGAGTTTTACTTTTCTCCTACATCGCCTCTGCATTTTTTAATATAGTAATTGTACTGTTTTTAGTTGACTCACTTATATATATTTGTCATATTGTGACTATAAAATATTTTTCTTTTGGTTGCAGAACAAGGTTCTGTTCTGTTACTATATTTTCTTTCTGGCCCAGCTCTTCTGCTTCCCCATACACATGTACCCTATCCCTTGAGTCTCTATTTCCTCCTTCCCTTCTATCTTCCTTCCTTTTTGATATCTTCATTTTCAAATGCTTTATCATATCTACAGAATAGATAAATAGATCTATAGAAAGTGTCTTTTTTTTTTTTAAACACTCCTCTGAAGTTCTCCCTTCTAGTTCATTCCATTTTTCTCTCCTCTTCCAACTTCATCAGTTATTTTTAGTTCTGCTGTCCAGTTGTTATCCTGAAATTTCTCATCACTGATTTTTTTGGGGAGATTGGAGTCACTGTGTCCTGAATTGTATGAATACCTCTTAATTTACAGCTTAATTTTTTACTGGAAAACCTCCTTAAGTAACTTTCAAGGATGTATTAGGTAACTTTTCCAGAAAAGCATTTCTCAAAATGCTTTTATTTTGCCTTTACCCAAAACTGATAGTTTGTCCTGGTATAAAATTATGAGTTGGGAAACATTTTCTCTTAAATTTTCATTAATTGTCTCTAGCTTCTATTCTGATAATTATGTGTTTTAGAGGTGAATTTCTTTCCTATTAAAAATCATTTTGAATTTTTAGGGATTTTATGGTAATTTTTTTAAGGGTTGGCCTTTTATTCTTCTTTTGTTGATATTCAATGATCCTTTCAATTTGGACACACGGCCCTTGTTGTTGTTGTCATTGCTCAGTCATGTCCAACTTCTTGAGACCCCATGGACTATAGCACGCCAGGCTTCCCCGTCCTTCACCATCGCTCAGAACTTGCTCAATCTCATGTCCATTGAGTCGGGGATGCCATCCTTATCTCTGGCAAATTTTCTGAAATTATTAGTTTGATGTTTCTTAATTCTCTGATCTCTTTTTCCCCTCTGAAACTTCTGAGGATTGATCTTCTGAATTTATTCTGTCCTTTTTCTCTCATATGTTCTATCTCATTGTTATTTAGTTCTATTTTTTGGAGATTTCCTTGAGTTTATCTTCTAAATCTTCTGCCGAATTTTTTTTTTAATCTTCAGTTCAGTTCAGTCGTTCAGGTGTATCCAACTCTTTGTGACCCCATGAATCACAGCACGCCAGGCCTCTCTGTCCATCACAAACTCCCGGAGTTTACTCAAACTCATGCCCATCGAGTCAGTGATGCCATCCAGCCATCAATCATATATTTAAGACTTCACTCTGATTTTTCTATATTAGTCTGTTTTGAAGGATGCAGTCATTTTCTGAGGCTAAAAGTAAGATGAATTCTGAATTTTTTTCCCAGTGCAGTATATCTGATTCATCTGTAGTCAACTTTTATTTTTCCTTTCTTCCCCCCTCTTAATTCTGATCTGTCTTTCATGCTGGTAGATTTTCTCAAGTGTATAGTGCTTATTCACAATAAGAAACACACTTTTATAGCCCTATTATTATAATTTAAAAAAGGATACTCATTTGTGAATTTCTTCTTTTAGGGGGAGAAACCTGAAGACAGTGGAGAGGATAGGTTTTCGTTTTCTCAGTTCCCTTATACTTATTTCATGTACAGACCTTTTATTCATACTCCATCTTCTCAGCCTTGTATTTCT